GTTGTCTTGGGATCAGGAACATCACTTGCTATACTTTCGCCGGGGGGGGGGGATGGGTCTTTACCCTCCAGTGCTGACTTGAGCCTCTCCCTCCTGGTTCTTTGAGCTCCCCCTCCCAATTCTGGATACTGTTGCTACAATAGGTACCTAAACATATCACTTCTAATATGATGCTCATTTTACGTAAATTGTTCAGTGCTTTTACGAGGAACATTATTCACATAAATTAGACAGTGGTAATGGCCTTATTCTTCGGAGAAAAACCAGGAGAATGGAGATGTAGATGGGTTGATATTTTGGCAACATGCCTTTATCGAAACATTTCTTAAATTCTGCTATTGTTTAAGAAGGATAACACTTTAACGTCTGATATTGTTTCTCCATTCTCCTGTTTGTTCCAGGAATAAGGTTATTACAACTGTCTTGCCTAATGTTCATTTTGCACCCAGTGACATGCTGTAGGTACATACGTCAAGTTACTGTCGTGCCAACTCCCACATACGTCATGTCAGTCTGTAAATGTTGGCAGGCCTTCCACGAGAGAATACAAGCGGACCACAACGGCAACACAAATCGACTGTAACATGCGACAGCTGTTCAAAGCACAGTGTGGCCCAGGTTGCCACACGCCGAGGTGGCCGGCTGGATGCTCACCGCTCGGGCGGGGGCCACCGCAGCACGGCAGTTTTGACCTGATGTACATTCTAGGGGAAATGCTCCTTCAACCAATTAAACAAAGCCCGTGGCGTGTGCAGTGTATGCCAGCCCTGCTGAGGCCGCTGAGTTCCGATCAGTCCCGTGAAGTCGCACCAACCAGGGCCACCCAGAAGCGTAGCAACACAGTAACGTGAAGTCGCACCAACCGGGGCCGCCCAGAACTATATCATAACAGTAACGATGGAGCGCTAGGAGGGGTTGCTGACAGGGTCTCCTCGTTCTCATCCTCCAGGAAGCTCCTTCTGTAAATTCAGGGTTTGACGAATGTGGGATCACTGGCGGCCGCGTTTGTTTTTTATCGTGTTTTACGATTGGACGGCCAGTCGAATGTCACCACAGTTTTGGTTGTTCGAGAAACCCACTGGTCACTGTTGAATAAAACGTTGGATAAATGTTTAATGAGTCATACTGTTTTTACGGTAGTTTCATTTGTTCGTTTTTCATTTGTTCGTCATTTCATTTGACAGCTTGTTCGTTTTTCCTTTCTACGGATTATTTGTGAACCTGGTGTAACTGTATCGGTAAACTAGAAAGTGGGGCACAATCGGAAGAATTCACTCAATGTTCCGGGTAATCGGTCTCACGCAAAATATGGCTATTTTAGCGCAACAACGTTCACGCGATTGGGGATCAGAAGACACACACGCCACTATCCGCATTTGAAATGTAAAGACCGCTTTCTCAGTAGTCATGGAGCATGCCGAAATGCAATGCGTTAAAGCCATGGGTTTTTTAAGGTTTAGGTGGAAGCTTTTGGTTTAATGAATTCCTGGGATGTGCGCCCACGCTAAGTAACGCTGGTTGCGTAAGCGCTGATGTCACCATAAGACATTATGAGGTGAAAGTTCTTATGTTGAGCTAAAGGAAATGTTTCCGAGCGGCGTAGCGGCGCCAAATTTTGCTTAGCTGTAGACAGTTGAATGGCGGATCGTTCGGTATCAAATATTTAGAGTCGGCTTGTAAGGTCGCTGACTGATGGTAGTTCAAAGTCAGGCCATGGATTCAGCAAGGACAATTTCTAGGTACTCGTTCAGTTTGATGCAATAACGGAGTGTTAAACGAAACCACACATCTCTCAGATAGTTCCTTAGGCAACGCAACAATTAAATGAACAAGTTTCATCAATCTAGGGTCAGATATCAAGGTCATTCCAAGGCTAAAACCAGCCTGCTTTGTTGCTCTAGGGCTTGCTGTGCATGGTAGTTTCTGGTGTTCATTTCGAAAATATTGAGAACAGGAACCGTATTATACATCCTCCATAGACTTCTCAAAGGTCAGTGTAGGTCACTGACCTAAAACGACCAGGGTCTACACTTCGTTTGTAGGAAGATACTGTTTAGCGAAGTCTTTGACGGCTATCCAAATGCTACTCAAAGCAGTCTTGTATGATTTTGGTCACCGTGATCTGTGAAAGGTCAAAAATGGTCACTGACCGTAAATGAGCACCAGTGATCTTTTGCTTAAAACATGTGCCTAAGTTGTGGGGTCACTTAAGACACCGATCTGGAGTTTGACCCTGTTTGACCCTATTCAAGCTGAAGAAAATGACCTAGGAACGTCAAATTTTGATGCCAGTGCGTCCACGAACAGGCCAATGCACTCTGTAATTCTGTGTCTCTATCTCTCTTAGTTCCTGAGATCTCAGCGGGTCAAACTGACCCTTACCCGAGCGATGGATATTCGACCGGCTACCCGGGCGCGTGTTAACGATGCTGTAATGCCAAATCACTATTATATTATGAGAAAAAATCAGTCAACACCATTATTCGTTAACATTAAAACGCCACTTTACCAGAATCTCCTGGTATATTGAAGGTCGTCAACACAACATCATAATTTTCAACTAATAAGGCCGGAAGAGCGGGAGCTGAATGTCTTTCCTAGACTACCATTCGACTGTCAAATTCAGAATCGACGGCAGAATCGCGCGGCGAAAGCTTAAAGTGCAGCAATGTTCGGCACGGTGTAACTGCCCTCTGACGGTACTTGACCGTTAGCGCGGGCCCTGCCACAGACTGCAGCCTATGCCAGCCACGGGTAAATGGCGAACACCTCAAGCGACTCGAACCCACCCCGCTACTGATGGGCGAATCGGAAAGCAGTCGCTCTAACCAAATGAGTTATCGGGACAGGCCGACGGGCATTTCTGGGTGGGAGGGCTTTAAGTGCAGCTCGATGACATATTGTCCATCTGGTTGTATCACAAAAAGGGTGTCTATGAATGGAATAAACACATTTTGTGCGGTGAGTGAGATAAATACTAGGGTGGTGTTGATTGTTTTTACAAGGAAACCCAACCATAAGCGCATCTTCCAAACTCAATATCGCTGCTTAACCGCGACCTCCCGCCATACTGAAGATAGATTATCTTCAAGATGAGAAGGAGCTCCGAACTCATAACGCTGAAGCACAATTTCTAGGCATTTCTTGCTTATATGAACTTCCAACACGTGTCCGAGCGCTGGTCATATCTTTGGCCCACATGGCTATTCTGATGCCCCGATTGGTCACCAACTTTCATCTACTCTACCTTTCTAGTTATGGACATGTCTGTTGAAAAGATCGCATAGCTCAGTTTTGATTTTACTTGTAAGTACATTCTGGCAGTGTACACGACAAAATTCCCATAGCCTCTGGTCTTTATGCTTTGGGTCATGCCACTATGCATTTAAGTGACTTTTGCGCCTTGGATTACGGTCGAGAGACGAAAAACAACGCATAATTTCCTTGATCACAACCGGTTGATTTACCAATTGTTTTCTGTGGTTTCAGCCCATTCGGCGTCATGAGTTGAAAATTATTTCTGATAAGTTAGATACCTTGAACATTGCAGGAGATATTGGTTAAATGACGTCGTAACACGAAATAGTGATTTTAATGGCAATGCTCAATATTTTGAGCTGCCCTCATCCTCAAGAGTTACAAGGGCTCAGGATAGTTTAACAAAAACATATCAAGATATTATGCTGCAAAAAAAGACGCCTGAATCCAGAAAAGCCCCAATCTTCCAGGCACTGACACTAAATGATGTTAAAAAGGTATGCCACCCAAGCTCTCGATCAGTGGTGGAAAGGCCTCTGATTTACCGGACGTGATCGGTGACAAAAACTTATATTTTTGTGCACTAACTGGCGGCAAAATTGCGAACATGAAGACAAATTCAGCAGGCAAGACCATATTACAACAGATTATCCCAGCTCGACGAAACTCTACTATGATAATTAATGATATGATAAATGTAAATAAAAAACTTAACTATGATAATTATGTTAGGTTAGTCTGAACCTTCATTTAGTGTGTGCTGGCCAGCAAATGAAGCTTTTGTACAAATGAACTTCCGAAACGAAAATGCTTGATGGTTATGCCGCATTGCAATTAATCTGTCTTTGCTTTTTGTGGTTTGTTGCATCTAGAGATATATTGCAACGCTTTCTGAAAGATTTGACTCCCGGTAACAATAAAGACAGCTCCAAATTTCGTCGGTGTCGGAACAGGCACTTTTGCAGGCCTGCTCCCAACATCCTGTATGCAGGTTCACGTTAAAAGCGCAACAAAACACCAGTACAGGCGTGTAAGCTGGAGACTTACAAAGTCCGACACAGATGACGCAAAAGCATTACCTACTGCGTGCCAGCCACCACGAACATTGCCGGAACCTCAGAAACGTGCATAACCTAAGTGTTGCTTTTCGCCATGTCCCATGCTGAAGTCTGTACGTTCAGCCTAGGGCGAAGATTTCAAATATGCAACGATCTTAAGATCTTGAGGTCCTCATTGTCTTAACTGTGGCTGAAAATTTTATTTTAAAGTCGGTATTTGTCGCGCCCCGTTCCATAGCTGAGTGTTGATCGGTCATGTTTTTAAGTGATGTGTACACTCTTGCGTTGGTCTCCGAGGTGTTTATTGAAAAGGTCGCGAATGCAACGTTTTGTCTCCCATACATAAAGTCTACTTGGGCAAAGATTACAGAGTATCTCGTCTACTACATCTATTAACATCTTGTTTAATTCTACCTCTTGTTACTATATCATCCAATTTTTGCATGCCATCAACTTGTCCATTCGGTCACTTACATCTAGACAAGGTGTGGCGCGGCTAAGACGCCAAACGTTCGGAAGTTACTCGGGAAAACCTTCATTTGAGAGGGGGGCGGGGGTGCAAATTGACCCCAAACTAAGCGATGTTGTTGGTGTTATTTCTGTTGTTCGTGTTAATTGCCATCGTTGTTAAGGAGATTTTTGGAAGCGCATGCATGTAAAACAGCACGTAATAATATCCTCGAATTTATTCAAAGCGCATGGCAAACGGCAAACGCAGGCTATGGCAATTGTATTATAACTATAATAAAAAGTTTGCTATCGACTAGCGGTGTTGGTTGTGCCCACAAAGGCCGCCAAGCTCTATGGAGTTGAAAATAGAGAGCCAATGTCGATACCAGGTTTTGTACGATGTCCGGGTGTGCATTTGGATGGCATTCCAAGCAAATGCTGGTTTAGATATTTCATTCTGGTGACTTCAATGGGGTTTTGGAGCAGGCCCTGGACGAGTGATTATTCCTTTAGCCAGCAGGTCTGGTCCTTCAAGGATTAAACGGCTGGACTATAAAAACAGCATCCTCACGCATTCAGCATCTGCTCAAAACAGGATGTAATTCCACTGTATTCCCAGTCACGCACAAAAGTCACTGCGTTTACACCATTCATCTACACACCACGACCAGGACACGGGGCCAACGCGCTGCCATGCCCCGCATGGCATCAGATGTCCAATGACGTGTCTCGCATTTCAGCTAACCGACCTTTGTAAAGCGGCCTTGCTTCAACTGCGATCAGACGCGCGGAGGCCAGCTCCGCAGGTGTAATGATATGGGGTGTACTACAGTTTAAGGCTCGTCCTCCTGGGGGGGTCGTGGACTCCCATGGCAAATGCTAATGTTCGTAATTTGGACTCGTTACTAAACATTTAACAACTTATACAGAAGGCCAACCAACTGCCGCCGCTTAATACGAGCTTGTAATGATAAAAATTGTCAACCAATGAACAATTTGGTCATGACATTCAAGTCCCGGTTCGGTTTCATCGGCTCACCTTCAGATCGGTCAAATCAGCTCAGTCCTAAGCGCGACAGACCATGTAGAAGTGCAGCCGATAAAGCGCAGTGTGAGATTCACATCCACGATCAGCATAATTTGATACGCCGCGCAAGACTGACCGTCGTCCAGGTGGCCCCGCCAGTCGGGCCATGCCGACGCCGTCAGCTGTGCTGTGTAGGCGCGAGGAGCCTGGCTCGACGACTCCACCCGGCTGGGACAGCCGCAGCTAGGGCCCTGACTGCGACTTCTAAACCACATGTGCCACGGTGCACCTTTCAACGACGGATTAGAATGAGAATCCATTTCAACCCTACGCCTACGCTTTTATAACATTACTCGAAGTGCATAATGACCCCAACCCATCACCCTGCTAGACTGTGTGGAGTTTTGGCCTGGCTCCGTGGAGGCACGGAGTCAAATCACGCTGTCTGCTGCCGACGCGCGACAGCAGCCTCATTCGTCCTCGTCGCGCCACCCAGCAGTGGCCGCCGCCGCGGCCCTCAGTCGCGCATGTTACTGACGATCCACTGCTCGTACTCGGTGACGCGTGTGTACACGTCGGGCACGTTCCTGGTGCCGCAGCGGGCTGGGCCGAACGAGACGACGCCAATCAGGTAGTGCGGCTGGCCGGGCGCGGGCATGGCCATGAGCGGCCCGCCGGCGTCGCCGGCACACGCGCCGCGGTCGCGCTCGCCGCCAGCGCAGATCTGCTCGGCTCCGATCAGGGTCCTGTAGCTCCGGTACACTTGCGAGCACTCCTTGTTGCCCACCACGGGCACGGTCAGCTCGCGCACGGTGTCGCCTTGGCCGCGAACTGGAACAGACGAGTTGCCGAGTCACCACGGACGAATACAAATCGCACGGATGTGGTGAACATGCACATCATTATCACCCAGCTTATTGTGTTCTGATGTCACCCGCAATTTTCAAGACCGATTCCGTTACGTTACATTTAAGAATAGGCGTCTACGTTCACGTACACTTGCCAATGTGCAGTGATTCGGTGTCTCAAAGACAATAACCGCGGCAAAGGCTATTGCTATATGACAAGATACAGGAAGGCTCAGATGCAAAAGCGTCAAATGACTTCGCAGCTCCACCATCAAATCAGGGTACTTGCACAAAAGCTGCGTTGTTTGGTAAAAATATCTAGTGGGCATGTTCGGTTACACGCATCTTCATGTCCAGATATTTATCAAACAAGAAACTATGGAAATTGGTGCGGGTCCAAAGTAAAATTTGCGTGCTTCACAATGTACTTAATGTAAATCATCCAAGTATAAAATCTGGCACTTGAAATATACACCAACCGAAGCAAAAGCATCGCAAAATAATTAAACCAGACAGCTCCCAAATTTTCCACGAACGAACACACACCCTGAGGCCATATTTATAATTTTGCCTTTATCGCCCTTGGCCCGCTGTCATTGCACGTCCGGCACTGGCCCGACTTCGACGCTGTTTTCATCTCCGTGTCCGGGCTTCAGTGACGCCGCCGCGGGCCCCATTATCGGCGTACAAATGGGGGTGAAATGCATCCTCCGGACGCAGCGACGTGTTCTCCCACTCAGTGGCGGGCAGTCATCCATACTCACTGGCGCCAAAGCCGGCCACAGTGAGCTCCTGGCCCACATGTGCTCTCCGCACTGAAGCGTCGAACGGCAGGCAGATGGGCCGAACGTAATCTGAAATCGCACAACAGGTAAACAAACTGGCACTGATTGCTTGCATCAACAGGTAAGCAAACTGGAAATGCTCGATGACACCAATAATCTTCAGGCACTTCACGACGCCTGCAGATGGCGTTCGCATCGGTGTCACATCATCTGCCACCAGCTGTGGCGGTACGAGGGCGAACCGCTACCGCAAGCATGTTTTGAATGTCAGACCCTTGCGTCTAAGTCGGCCGTATCACCAAATTTCATCTAGCATGCCGGTATTGTAAGATCTGGAGGTTGAAGAGCTTGCAACATTACGCTTGGAAATCATACCTGATGAAAGATCATAATCGTAGGTATATCAATGTTGTATGCATGCACATCTAGGGTAGCGTGTCCTAGTTTTGCACACACCGGGCGCCTTTTTTGGACACCTAAGAACTTTCTGTAACGACGCTTTCCCAGCTAGATTTAAGCTGGTGGCCATGGCTATCTTTTCTTGAATCATTTCTTGAGATGTTCCCATCCTGCAGTTATTGAGATACTACCTATTTCAATCACAGGAGGGCATTTTCTAACCTTCTGTTTTCCGCTTGAATAAACAGACCTATTTACTTGTTACGGACAGGAAGGCTATCTAACAGTGCAACAATTATTTGCTTGACGAGCAGTGAATCTGAGTTCAAAGCAAAACAGGCTTGCATTGTCTAATGGAAAGACATTTTTACACACATTTTCAAACAATGCATTGAGAGGAACGTCCGGTACCTATGTCCGTGTCCTGAATGTCCGGTAGTCCTGAGGCGCAGTAAGGAGAGAGGGGCGCGTACACGGCATTAGGAATGACCGGTGCGCATAATTTTAGCGATGCGTAGCGTGCGTTTATAGCTCAAGAGGAGAACGTGCGCCCGTGTTAAGAACGGGCGATCGGCGCGTGTACGCGTACTCATACGCATTTGCTACGAAGTCTGTGGTCATTTCATGTCAATCGAAATAGCGTGTACCGATAAGGGACAACTGGGATGTGCGTATTGAGGGCGCCTGCTATGAACAATGCATACATGAATGCTCATCCCTCGTTTGCCTCCACATTGCATATACTCTTAAAGCTACAACTTCGTTTACTTACGATGGTGAATAAAAATGCAAAGCATGCGTTATGCATCGAACATTCTTTGCATAAAATATAATGATATTATGAATATATATATATATATATATATATATATATATATATATCAGCCATTTTTACTATTTAGCCCGAACCTTTTGCTTGCCAGGATTTCTGGGATCAGCCCTCACCCTAAGCAGTACTTGACGCGTGGGTCCTGGCCATATCATCTGAATATCCAAGTAGCAAGTTAACGGCAGAGTTTTACTTGTCACGTTGCTCGGCACGGTCCTTTTAACTTCCGTCGAAATTTAGCACGGCCACTTCCTCCGGCCACAGGTCATGTCAGTTATGGTCAAACAGTGAGCGCCCAACACTCCTCAAACCCTTCCCGCCTCCGGTGGATAAATCGGGAGATAGCCGCTGTAAGCAACTGGGCTTTTGGGAACAAAACAATGTATGTGTATATATATATATATATATATATATATATATATATATATATCAGCAACTGAGTACGGTATGAAGCCCTTGACCGATGGTGCGTTTGTAAACGGGAAGTTGTTTTTTACCGTCGCGTGTTCCGAGCTCAAAGTCTTGCACACGCCGCGGTACTCGGCACTAATGGTCATGCCGCGAGACTGTCCGTGCAGAATGGCGCTGTGACAGGGCGGAGAACGGCGCCAGACGTCGGCCGTCGGCCCCGCCTGTGACTCTGACTCACTGGTGCGCCGCACCGGCCGGTCCAGCCGCACCAGCGCGATGTCGTTCCGGTACTTCACGGGCCTGTGGTGCTCCTCGTGCGGGATGATCTTCTCGATACCGAAGTCCTGCACCGGCTCCGTGCAGACCTCCCGGCCGCCGACCTGCACAAACACGGGAGGCAAGGGGGGGGGGGGGGGCAAGATCAGCGCGCGCGGACCGCAAACGACGCGGTTGAAGACATTATACACCGCGGCACATCACTGGAAGATTCCTTGCGATGCACTTTAATGTCCTGCTCATGGCCAAGTGATGCGCGGAGGAGGGGCCTGTGTAAACTCCAGGTACATGGCCAGTGAGCCGTGACATTCCTGAGAAATCCGATCCCAGCCAGGGGCGACGCTTCATGACTGTGACGTGTCGGACACGAGGTGACCAGGTGACTGTCAACCAGGGGCGACGCTTCATGACTGTGACGTGTCGGACACCAGGTGGCCAGGTGACTGTCAGCCAGGGGAGACGCTTCATGACTGTGACGTGTCGGACACCAGGTGGCCAGGTGACTGTCAACCAGGGGTGACGCTTCATGACTGTGACGTGTTGGACGCCAGGTGACCAGGTGATTGTCAACCAGGGGCGACGCTTCATGACTGTGACGTGTTGGACGCCAGGTGACCAGGTGATTGTCAACCAGGGGCGACGCTTCATGACTGTGACGTGTTGGACGCCAGGTGATTGTCAACCAGGGGCGACGCTTCATGACTGTGACGTGTTGGACGCCAGGTGACCAGGTGATTGTCAACCAGGGGCGACGCTTCATGACTGTGACGTGTTGGACGCCAGGTGATTGTCAACCAGGGGCGACGCTTCATGACTGTGACGTGTTGGACGCCAGGTGATTGTCAACCAGGGGAGACGCTTCATGACTGTGACGTGTTGGACGCCAGGTGACCAGGTGATTGTCAACCAGGGGCGACGCTTCATGACTGTGACGTGTTGGACGCCAGGTGATTGTCAACCAGGGGAGACGCTTCATGACTGTGACGTGTTGGACGCCAGGTGACCAGGTGACAGTCAACCAGGGGCGACGCTTCATGACTGTGACGTGTTGGACGCCAGGTGACCAGGTGATTGTCAACCAGGGGCGACGCTTCATGACTGTGACGTGTTGGACGCCAGGTGACCAGGTGATTGTCAACCAGGGGCGACGCTTCATGACTGTGACGTGTCGGACACCAGGTGGCCAGGTGACTGTCAGCCAGGGGCGACGCTTCATGACTGTGACGTGTTGGACGCCAGGTGACCAGGTGATTGTCATGCGAGCCCAAAGACAGCGTAAATGTCGAAAAGGGATTTGGTGTTCACACCTCGATTTTAAGCACTGCCCTACAGACACCTGGTGGTAATGCCGAGAAGACCACATGGGATAGGCTGCAGGAGCCCGTTATGTATGTGCATGCAATGAAACGCCCTTCAAAACCTGTTTTTCTTATAGTTAGCTTTTTATTGCGACCCCATCACCCTCTTTATTCTTTATTTTACCGGTTTGCCGTGCATGCCAGAGGCATTTCATGTCATTCCATACGTCTAGCATATGTTATTTTATTTTAGCGTCTACTTTAGGCTCCAAACCTCCCACACGACTCCCAGAGTCCCAGAAGGAGAGAGGGAGTGGACATGAGCTGCCAAAATGTACCCCCCGCCAACGCACACAACTTTCAGCCGGACTAACTTCAGTCAAAATAGTACACGTTTGGTGAATGCCCGTTCAACAATGGCGTTCTCCTTTCCTCACATTAAGTATTTTCATTTACATCTTTTCGGCAGATGACAGCATTTGATTAATTCTTACTGGCCCAGCGTAATATTTATGAAAACGCATGACTGTCACGTTTCATTTCTCAAGCGTTGTAAAAGCACGGTCAATTTCTCAACAGAAACACCACCATGATTTTGCAACAAATCTGAGCAGTGCAGACAGCACCACGCATCGCCACACAATCGGCCAGCTAGGTATTGCTAGGTAGGGTGCTACTCGTGAAACCTCTCTTCTGCCTAATCTGATATGTTCGTCTGGTGGTAATCTGATCAAGATAGCATACACGTACACAATATATAAATGTTTGTGTTCAGCAACCAAAAAAGACAGCATGCATGAGATGATTTACGCATGTATATATATATATATATATATATATATATATATATATATATATATATATATATATATATGTGTGTGTGTGTGTGTGTGTGTGTGTGTGTGTGTGTGCGTGTATGTGCGTGTGTGTGTGTGTGTGTGTGTGTGTGTGTGTGTGTGTGTGTGTGTGTGTGTGTGTGTGTGTGTGTGTGTGTGTGTGTGTGTGTGTGTGTGTGTGTGTGTGTGTGTGTGTGTGGTGTGTGTGTGTGTGTGTGTGTGTGTGTGTGTGTGTGTGTGTGTGTGTGTGTGTGTGTGTGACAGTTCATTACCGCCAAGTTATGCCTGCATAAATACAGCGCTGCCGGTAAACAGATACATTCTGAATCACAGCAAGTGGTTGAAAGTGGTGCAGCCTTGAAAACACGAAAAAACATGTCTGAGTGGAGCTATGTAGCGTGCCGTTGGAGCGCCCACACGATTGTAATTAACGACTTATGTAGATCCGTTTTCACCAAACTTTGAAGGCAAATCTCCCTCTGCGGTCTGTTTGACACGATTATGACAGCATGCACATAGGTGCTAACTGTTGGAATGCAAGCTTTGTAGGTCAAAAATGGCAGCGTAGACAAACGTTCGGAACGCTTAATGTCAAATGCCGGATTTAGACGAAGATTGGCGTAATGATTTGCAGATGCATCGAGTATTCCACGAGGAGGATGTTATGCCCTGCAGTACCTGGAGGCTGGATTTAGATTGGATATTTGCATGAAGACCTCGACTACCTGGTGCCATGACAATTGTGCTCAGCGTTTGCAGAAGTCTGCACGATCAGGCAATGGTTGCATCGAGGGTGCAGCGGGCCGAGCCCCCGTAAGTGGCGGTCTCGCGCCTTCTGGAATTTCGGCTGTTGAGTTTGACTGGCGCTTGTTTCTTTCGGTTTGCTGCAACTGTAGATGCTAGACCTTGGCAGGATGTAAAATGGAGTATGGATGTTTTGCTAGATGGATGGATGTTTTACTCACCAGATAGCCGTTCCGGCTGGTGGTGGTGCCGTGCTCACCAGATAACAGTCCCGGCTGGTGGTGGTGCCGTGCTCACCAGATAGCCGTCCCGGCCGGTGGTGGTGCCGTGCTCACCAGATAGCCGTCCCGGCTGGTGGTGGTGCCGTGCTCACCAGATAGCCGTCCCGGCTGGTGGTGGTGCCGTGCTCACCAGATAGCCGTCCCGGCTGGTGGTGGTGCCGTGCTCACCAGATAACAGTCCCGGCTGGTGGTGGTGCCGTGCTCACCAGATAACAGTCCCGGCTGGTGGTGCTGCCGTGCTCACCAGATAACAGTCCCGGCTGGTGGTGGTGCCGTGCTCACCAGATAACAGTCCCGGCTGGTGGTGCTGCCGTGCTCACCAGATAACAGTCCCGGCTGGTGGTGCTGCCGTGCTCACCAGATAACAGTCCCGGCTGGTGGTGGTGCCGTGCTCACCAGATAACAGTCCCGGCTGGTGGTGGTGCCGTGCTCACCAGATAACAGTCCCGGCTGGTGGTGCTGCCGTGCTCACCAGATAACAGTCCCGGCTGGTGGTGGTGCCGTGCTCACCAGATAACAGTCCCGGCTGGTGGTGGTGCCGTGCTCACCAGATAACAGTCCCGGCTGGTGGTGGTGCCGTGCTCACCAGATAACAGTCCCGGCTGGTGGTGGTGCCGTGCTCACCAGATAGCCGTCCCGGCCGGTGGTGGTGCCGTGCTCACTAGATAGCCGTCCCGGCCGGTGGTGGTGCCGTGCTCACCAGATAACAGTCCCGGCCGGTGGTGGTGCCGTGCTCACCAGATAACAGTCCCGGCCGGTGGTGGTGCCGTGCTCACCAGATAGCCGTCCCGGCCGGTGGTGGTGCCGTGCTCACCAGAAAACAGTCCCGGCCGGTGGTGGTGTTTTACTCACCAGACAACAGTCCCGGCCGGCGTTGGTGTTTTACTCACCAGATAACACTCCTGGCCGGTGGTGGTGTTTTACTCACCAGATAACACTCCTGGCCGGTGGTGGTGGCGTACTCACCATCTGACAATCCAGTTCTGTGGAGACGTTGTGCTCGCCCAGGCGGACGGATGAGACGCTCAGCCGCTTCGGGAGCCGGCTGACGCAGTGCGCCGCCGTCAGCACGTACCGATTGTTGATCAGTGTGCCACCGCAGTTGTAGGTGATCTTGTCGGGCGTGGTAGTGCCTGCGGGTACACGGTACGTGGTTTGTTGGCACACAAGGTGTCCCATCTGACTCGGCTTAGAGGAAGCACGGTTTGAGGATGCTCCCAGGAGACCCAGAGTCATTCCGCGGTCTCGAGGTCGAACGGACTAAAGCGGTGCACACTGCTAAACCTGTTCGGACGGCTAGTTATGCCTTTTCTGAACGACGGCCACTGCTGGCTGACATGAGTCGTCGCCCCTCACGGCCACTCAGATGCTGGGAATTTACGCCGATAAGACCCCGGATCTGGTCTGGAAAACCAGTTGTTACAATGCTCCACATCTTACTTCCATTTTTGTATAATCTGACGTCAACCTAAGATGATTTGCTTGCACGGGTCGCATGAGAACGCCCGGGCGGTATTTACATCTCCGTGCGACACCAGCCGCATGAAAGTGGCAGCGTCCCTAAACAAGCGACGGGCCTCGGATAGCGATCGCCACCATGAACACCTATCGGCTCAGTATGATGAACGATCTTTCCAAATTCACGAGAACAGCCCCTCTCGGTCGTAAACGTCCATCTCCAACGTGATGTTTGTCTGTCCTGGAGAGATCTGCACACGTGTGTTTGTCTCAGTGCTTGCCCCTGTCGGTGTCTGTAAAAGGGTTTGCGGCGTGTTCGACGTTTTGAGAGGAAAAAAGGAGCAGGCTTATGGGAAGCCTTCTGAAGGTTTAGCGACATATGCCATCCGAGACTCTGGTCTCGCCGGTTGCGACAGCACCATCTACGATAAGATCATCAGCTAGGTAAAACAGATCAGCATCTGGGTCAAGGTATGTATCTTATGCACGCTGCTATTTGGCTTACAGGTCATGTGAAGTCATATCAGTCACATCAGTTACAGTCAATAAATTCCGACGCGCTGTCCGCCTTACATTCGAACAGGCAATCAAACTAAATAAGACTGTTAAAACCTGACGCAAATCGCTCGTCACCCTATGGCAGCCAATCACACGTCAGTAATACTCTCAGCTTTCATCACAAGGTGTGTGTCAAGGTGAGGAAGGGGGGGGGGGGGCTGACGACTGGGTGATTAGCGTGGTCGACTCCCACGTGGTAAACACGGGTTTGAGCCACAGTTGTGCCGCAGAAGACACTGTAAGCGGGTGCGCGAAGACAAGCGTTACCGACTGTTCTAACAAATATGTAGACTTCAAACGTAACGGTGATCTCTGACGGAACGGATGTGTGCAATCCGAGAGCTACGTCTGTTGCATATAAATTACCAAATACATGCTTGGCTACGGCTCAGTGCGTCAGACCAATCTTGATCGACTGTGCGTGGAATAGTGGATGCAATATGCGGATGGTACTATGAGAGTACGCCGCTTTGCAGGATATCTGGAAGCCTCTTCGTTCCACATACAGATTCAATATGCACATTCAATGCTGGCCTGTCTCTTAGCATTTGAGTTCATGAAATGTTGTCATTACAATGTTGGAATGCGTTTGTATTTGGTTTCGGCTTGCGTTCCACCCTATAGACGCACGCCGCGGTAGCTGTTTTCCCGGCATGCCATTTGACCTTCTCACACCTCTTGGCTTGATCAGACTTATGACGTATGTCATGCTGAAGGTGAGCACTGCGAAATCGATGGTGAAATGTGGGATCAATGAAAACTTACGGCAGCTCTTTCAATGAAGTCCTCCTGCGGTGCACAGCCAGTCAACTTGGTAGCAAATCACTGAGTTTTGCATACAAATTTCAAATCGACATCAAAATCCGAAATATTTCAACTTCAATTGATTTATGACGTCATCGGTAACCATTAAGTAACCAATATTCTCCGCCGTGAGATGCAGGGATGTGGAATGTCATCTGACAACGCGCAGTCGCCACCTTCATGTCAGGGGTGGGAAGGACCAAAAAGGCCTCCGTCAAGCAGCTTCACGATGGCCAAATATCCCGCTTCATTCTCGGTTAACTGGCTTAAGCTCATACGAGACCCGAATGATACAAAGATACCCTGTGCTTTTTATGCGTGTCTAATGATGTTAAGCCCATTTGTTTATACCCATGAACCCATAACCGCAGAACCCGGGCCGGGTGAGTGGAATGCCACACATAATGATAACCAAGAGCGGCAGCATTGCTTAGACCATACAGTATCTAATGACGGCCAGTAGGGTTGTGTCTCGTTCCGGGTGCAGTTGGAAGTGGCGACGGGGACGGCCAGTAGGGTTGTGTCTCGTTCCGGGTGCAGTTGGAAGTGGCGACGGGGACGGCCAGTAGGGTTGCATCTCGTTCCGGGTGCAGTTGGAAGTGGCGACGGGGACGGCCAGTAGGGTTGTATTTCGTTCCGGGTACAGTTGGAAGTGGCGACGGGGACGGCCAGTAGGGTTGTGTCTCGTTCCGGGTGCAGTTGGAAATGGCGACAGAGAGGGTCAAAGTTTCTCTGCGCCAAAGCGGAATCGATTCCTTTCAAGATTTGCCCACGCGCGCAGTTCGCAGTTCGCAGTCAAAGACACACTGTGCTTCGTTTTGGTGACGATCATCAATTAATAAACTCATGAAGGAATGCAGACATCTACTTATGTTATTTTCTTCCTACTGCTGTTCTTTGTGCAACGGGGGAGCAATAAGATATGTCAGTGTTATCAAAGATATGGCCCGCGTGGGTTTTTATGCAGCCCATGAAACTATTTATCACTTGTGACCGGAATCAGCCGCATCGGAAACAAAATCTGGGAATCAGCCATGTCTGTTCGGATTGGAATCCGAGTCGACTTAAAAGTATGCTGTGCTCGGTGTCAGAGTCGGAGTCAACCCCACATGCTGTGAGCCAGAGCCGAAATCGACTCCGGTGGAGCGAAGTCTGGTGCGGGTCTGATTGTCAGTTCCGATGCTCAGCAAGGGTGAACGAGGGATACCTATGTGGAGTATTCAACGCTGTCCACTGACGGCAAATGCTTGCTACAATGAATGATAGCCCATAAAGCCACCGTTCGAGTGTGCTGATCACGAAACGAGCAACACAGCCTTGCGTTCCATATTCTATAAGGTGAAGGTGAATGTGCAAATTCTCCCCCTACCAAATATCAGCAGACCCGCGGGTGATTATTGGTTCATCTCAGCAGAGCCCTCTCGGGATGATCGCCACGATGGGCAGCTTCACACTTCATACCACAGGTAAGCGCTTACTGGTGTATCCCAACAGAGCCATCCAGGGGTATTCGCCGAGATGGACCTCCTCCTCGTCGAGGTTGGTGCCGGGCACGTTGATGCCACATCTGTCGTCGCCGAAGGACTCCATGGGAGGCAGGTAGCCCAAGTCCCGTGCCTCCAGCAGCAGCACTGTAGACCGAAGGTGGCGTGTTAGCGGGCAGATGGGATCGTCATTAGTGGTACCACCGCGCCGCCTGCCGCTTGATGGGATCGCCATTAGTGGTGCCACCGCGCCGCCTGCCGCTTGATGGGATCGCCATTGGTGGTACCACCGCGCCGCCTGCCGCTTGATGGGATCGCCATTAGTGGTGCCACCGCGCCGCCTTCCGCTTGATGGGATCGCGTGCAGCGGTGGAACAAATCACAGCTCACTTTATTAAGACGCTGCTGCAGTGCGGCAGAAAAAAGTTGATCCCATCAAATAGGCATCGTTTCGCAGCTTTAGTGGCGGATCTCAGATCGTGTTATCTGCAGCTAAATTGGGATATCGGATTACTTGGATCTTGGTATTAATGCAAAATTGCATGACATGAAAACCTGATAAATATTCACTACCTGTCTTTCCGCCTCTGGCTTGTTTTTAGTGCCAGACAATTTCAGCGAAATTTTGACTTTGACATGAACCATGCGGGCACCAAAAAGCACGTAAAATTCAAGCACGCATCGCTTTCTAGTCTAAGTGGCAGCTCTCACACCCTGTTATCTGAGGTGGAGTCGTCGATGAACTTGAGATAAAGGTTTACTTTTGATCTAGGTAGTAACCCAAATTGAATCAAATGAAAATCCGATGGATTATCACCAGTTATCTTTCTGTTTCCACCTTTTTCACGTTAGAATATGGTCTCCTAGGTCCCTGGCATCTGGAGTCGGGAGCCCATCCACCTGATCTCCTAGGCCCCTGACATTTGGAGTCGGGAGCCCATCCACCTGATCTCCTAGGCCCCTGACATTTGGAGTCGGGAGCCCATCCACCTGATCTCCTAGGTCCCTGGCATCTGGAGTCGGAAGACCATCCACCTGATCTCCTAGGTCCCTGGCATCTGGAGTCGGAAGACCATCCACCTGATCTCCTAGGTCCCTGGCATCTGGAGTCGGAAGACCATCCACCTGATCTCCTAGGTCCCTGACATTTGGAGTCGGGAGCCCATCCACCTGATCTCCTAGGTCCCTGACATTTGGAGTCGGGAGCCCATCCACCTGATCTCTTAGGCCCCTGACATTTGGAGTCGGGAGCCCATCCACCTGATCTCCTAGGCCCCTGACATTTGGAGTCGGGAGACCATCCACCTGATCTCCTAGGTCCCTGACATTTGGAGTCGGGAGCCCATCCACCTGATCTCCTAGGCCCCTGACATTTGGAGTCGGGAGCCCATCCACCTGATCTCCTAGGCCCCTGACATTTGGAGTCGGGAGCCCGTCCACCTGATCTCCTAGGTCCCTGGCATCTGGAGTCGGAAGACCATCCACCTGATCTCCTAGGTCCCTGGCATCTGGAGTCGGAAGACCATCCACCTGATCTCCTAGGTCCCTGGCATCTGGAGTCGGGAGGCCATCCATCTGATCTCCTAGGTCCCTGGCATTTGCAGTCGGGAGCCCATCCACCTGGTCTCCTAGTACCTTGGCATCTGGATGGGAAAATGCGTCGCAATGACATGCCAATGTGTTAACGATCCGAAAACATGGGACCCGAGGCTCAAATCGCTTATCGCTATCCCCATTCCAGTCCTGACCCACTGGCCGTCGGCTTATAAGGGTCCGTCAGCATACAACAGGCGCTTGGTCGCCTATGTGCTGGTCGTGAGACTTACAGCGCTGTGCCGATGGAGATACGCCAGGCCTCGTCGCGGTGCAGGCCGTGGAGGCCAGCAACAGTGCAGCTAGCCAGCCCAGCATTGTCGAACGCGGGGTTCTGCAAGAGATACGTGATTCGATCAGAGCAGAGGAGCGACAGTCGGGCTTCCCGACCAGAACCATATGTGGAGGAAAGATAGGAGCAAGGCGTTATGCTGTGACTCACATGGAGCTGGGGTGGGGGCTGGCTCACGGCCCATTGCGCTCGAGTGACATAAAGCCAGCCAGCCAGTGCCAGCCACGTGCCAGCTCGCACGTGGTGGGGAAGGTTGTCATCTCTTTTTCACACCCTGTGAGATCTGAATCTGTATCAGAACCAGAAGTCAGCAGGTAGTCATCAGAAGATGACCTGCTGACAACGAACGAAAGATGAAAATTCGTCAGCAGAAAATGACCAGCTGGGTGCTTGTGAATTCGGGCAGTGGTATGAGGCCACCACTCGCAGGTAGGTAAATATAACATTTAAAAAAATAAACTTGAGTATGCATCCGAAGTCACAGCAACCGAACATGGCGACGCGGATGTCGTTCCCCAATGTCCTGTGCCATCAGAGCATGTAAAAGATACCAGCGGATCGTGTCTACGCCGTCCGTTAGTTTAGGTTGTTAGTCGTACAATCGACATGCGCTGCATAAGCTGCCCTGATAAGCTGGGTGCGCTGTTTGGCTGTGACGAGATCAAGGAAGTGGTAGAAGGTTCCACTTCTCATTCGGCAGAACAATGTCTGTGGCCACGTTACAGCACAGCGTCGCTAATAAACTAATTCTCAACAGGCGCACCGAGTGGAATATTGACGTATTGGCAGTTAAGGCAGGAACGTTTGCTGTATGTATGTTAGTGTTAACCTTAGTTTGTAGCTGCGCTCATCACGAAGGAGATGGCGCTTCATGTCCCTGAGCATCCTATCGTCTCGCACACATTTGTGCTGCAGAGAGACGTAAGCAATACAGCCAAGCCCAAAGGACCTGTCTCCGCATTTCTCTCATACGACGCATCACTTTCCTGACTCAGTGGGCGAGTTTGGTCTTGTGAGCGAATGTCCTGGAGGGATAGTTATTAGCATCAGCAGAATGTCAGCCTACGTGGCTCCACCTGCGAAGCGTCAGCGTACAGTGCGTCATTTCACCAACACAATTTAGTAGGGCACAGTGATAAGGAGTTCGTTTTATAGTTACCTCTCACACAACAGCGAATGGCGGCTTCTGGCATTCTCAAGAAATTCGTGAGATCTTTCGGCGTAATATGGACACAGGCACTGGGCCAGTTACGACATAAACAATGTCGGCATTACCGCGCCGGGGCAAAAAAGAGAAGCAATAAGGCGAAAAGCGAGGGCATGCCAACAATCAGTAAACCATGCAGCGAGGGGCCAAGGAAATGCACAAGGCAGCAGAGATTGCATAAGCTTGTCTCTGATAACCACTGCCACAGACAACGCCCAGATTAGTGGATCGCTTTTGGTGCACGGCACAGCAAAGCTGTCCAGATAATCCACTAACAGCCGGCACGCCGGATAACAAAAATAAGAGGATTTCTGGGATGTTAACAGAATATCTGTGCCGGACGTTATGCCCGCAAACGGAGCCCCCAAGGACGGAACACGGACTGTCAACGAAATCTAAGTCACAGAGGCCTGGACTGTGAATAGGACCGTTGTGACCTGCATCTGAGCGGTTAGGAGAGAGCGGTTAGGAGAGTCTGGTGATGGATCTTGGGACTGCGAAGAGGACCTTTGCGTCCGTCATCTGGCCTGTTCGGAGAGCCCCGTGACAGACCTTTGGACTGTCAACAGGATCTTAATGACCTGCATCTGAACTGTTCGGAGAACCGCCGTGGTGGACAGTTGCACCGTTTACGCAGACTCTGGTACAAACATATAAGCTATCAGCAAAGAATCCGTGACACATATTTGAACTGTTAACAGAGTTTCAGTGGCAGGCATACAGACCATAACCAGATCCAAGCCTCCGTGATAAGGTTTCTGTGACAGAAGTCTGGTCAACAAAGCCCATGTGACATACGTCTTGCGACGTGACTTTCAGCAAAGTGAATGGCGTATGACTTCACCGCTGCTAGAATCTCTGTGATAGACGTTCTCATGGTCACCGCAGTGCCAGCAACCAGATAGATGGTCAGCAGTCCCTACCACTGACGTCTGGCTAGCCACAAGTCTAATGCAAACACCTGAAATGCCACTGGAATATTTAACACCTCACCGAAAAAGTCTGGCCGACTGGCAATCACTCGCCCGGGCTGAGTTACTTGCCGAGGAGTTCCCAAATAGCAGCTGATACGCTGGTACAGGGTGACGAGAGTGGCCGAGCGCCAGACGGATTAACGGAACGGTAAAGAGCTTTGCGCCTTTTGCGGTGCCTTGCGGTGGCTCTCAGGACATTCTGATGCCAAAGCTGTGAGGCCCAACAGCAAGAGAAATGCATGGATGGGCCGCAAAGTCGCCGTTCGTAAAAATTATCAACTTGCCACTTGCCTACCGTTAGGAACCACTACTATTAAAAGTGCATTAAAGCTCAGACCCGAAAAAAATTACGAAGCCTTTAGAACGTTGGTTAGCAACAAAACAAGACGCAACAAGGCACCTGGATGCCTCACTGTGTCAAGGTATCAGGATACCTGTGGATGTTATCGATGTCATCATTGCACGGTATAAGTTTTGCTTAACGATTTAGACGAGCCAAATCGCTCGTCGAACGCACTGTGAATCGCTCTATCGACCTCTTTGAACATGTGGTCAGCACGGCTTACTTACTGTCATCTTTAATGTGCAACATGCATGTTGGAAAACGGTTGTCGGCCTGAGGATATTAAGGTACCGTACATCGCCCAGCCTGATAAGATACCTCAGCAAGGGTTACCTTCGACAATAAACTGGCAGAGACTAAAAACACCGAGTGATCAAATATCAACACAGCAGTTTGCAACAGGAGTTCTCACTGTGTGAAGCTTCGCACACGTCTGCGTCCGCAGCCCGTGTTTTCTGGTCGGCGGGCGATCGGAGCTGGCGCACACTCCTCTGTGGGCAGTGCTTCTGCTGGCGTCTCTGTCAGTCGACGACGGCGCCGCCGCTGCTCCTCGTCCTTTATCCGTGAGCCACCGGAGCGGACTGGTGCCGGCCCACCGCGCCGCGCCGCCCGACCCTGCTCATGGAAATCCGCTTACCCGGCACATGGCGGCCGCCGTCAGGTCCATGGAACCGGCGCCGGCCGCGGTCCCCACCGCCCGACCCTGCCGGTGGAGACCCGCCGTCAGGTCCATAGAACCGGCGCCGGCCGCGGTCCCCGCCGTCCGACCCTGCCGGTGGAGACCCGTCTCTCCCCGGCACATGGCGGCCGCCGTCAGGTCCATGGAACCGGCGCCGGCCGCGGTCCCCACCGCCCGACCCTGCCGGTGGAGACCCGCCTCTCCCCGGCGCCTGGCGGCCGCCGTCAGGTCCATGGAACCGGCGCCGGCCGCGGGCCCCGCCGCCCGACCCTGCCGGTGGAGACCCGTCTTTCCCCGGCACATGGCGGCCGCCGTCAGGTCCCCGACCCTGCCGAAGAAACGTTCGTCTCTGTCCCGTGACGGCCCCAAACGCCCGCTTCCCCAGCGCCTGGCGGCCGGGTGTCAGGTCCGCGGTATAGGTGCTAGCCCGCGACACCCTGTCCTGCCCTGCACGGTCCTCGAAGGCGGAAGACGGCCGGGAGTCCGGTCCGCGGAATGGGCGCCGGCCAGAGGCGCGGTGTGCACCAGAGTGGAATACGGACGGCGGAGATGAAACCTAGTCAGCCCGGTTTCTTATTTAGACATTTTAGCTTACACTATCGATGGGCATGAAGGGGTTTGTAAGGGTCAGTGGTTCAAGACTCTGCAGCATGTCCCCAAAAATATATGGGACTGTAAGAGTTCACTTCAGATTCAAATGCAAGCCGGCTGAGTGTTTTAGCGTTCAGATAATAAGCGAAGGCGCCTACCGGTATGGGACAGATATGTCAAGCTTGGTTTATTGTGCATGCTGAGCACTAAACAAACAGGCGCACGTTTGGTCTCAGACAGCCTCACCAACAGCGTGGCAATGATTAGTGATGCCCATCGTTTCCCAGGACACCAACCTTATTCATTTACAGGAATGACACTTTCATGCTAACCGGGGGTATCACTTTCTGGAATCTAAAGTCAGTTGGGGTTGGGGGCTGAGTCAATAGACCGGACCTGCCCCAAAATTGATCTCTCCCCAGATTTCGACCACTTTAATTTGCGTCCCAAGTTATGGATAGAATTGTCATTTGTTACGAAAATAACTGTCTAAAAACGTAGCACTCCAATTTGTTTTTGCCACGGACGAACGGCTTACCATTTCAGGGCGATGGGAAGCTGCATTTTTGTGAAGAGCTTAGAATGGGATGTAATTCACAGATACAAATATCTTAGCAGTTCGTGTCCTTGTGATTTACAAAAACCGGTATCGCTTATGGTTCACTGAAGGTGGCCCGAGGCGCAAAAAGGTAGTTTTATGTCGATAGGCGTGGATGACATGTACAAACTTGAGCGAATGGAAAATTGTTGAGCACACTGCCACGATATGTCCACATATAAATCAAACTGTTAGAATGTAAAGTTAAAGCAATTTGCTGATCGTGTTTTGCCAGGCAATTGGCAGCCGAATGCCACTAAAGTGACGATTTGTGACAAACACACTTGAGTGTTGATGGGAAGACTTTCATCTCGGCTTTCATCTCGGCTACCCTGTACTTTTAACAGCTGCTGCACACTGCAGTCAATTGTTATTCATCTTCGGGCAGGTGGTACCATGTGAAAAACTTGTCAAACACTTGCAGACTGTCCTAATATATGAAGGAGCTGCTATGACGACACATTAAAAACCTACCGAATATTATTTGGTGCGAAATTAATGTGATGCTAACAATAATGTGCCCAGGTACAAAAACAGCAAAAATAATGTCCCCTCGCTCTCCAGTGCACCATATTTCTTGCTTCTTAGAGGCCAATTATGGAACCTTAGACTGCAATGCAGTACAAAGCGGCTGTGCGGAACAGTCACAATGCAGGTGTGTATCCTCGGCAGCAGACAGATCAGAGGGACGGAGCCCAGGCGTGTATCCTCGGCAGCAGACAGATCAGAGGGACGGAGCGTTTGATGGTCGGCCCATTGGTTCAACGGTGTGGTAGTGAACCGTGACCGGAATCGAAGTGAGCGGAAGAGGCTGCTGTACGTTGGTTCTGTTCGCATATCAGACGAGTGGATGGTAGGCATGCATTGTCATTTGGCCTTAATTTGGCAAAATTAACGAAATAAAGACGAAGAATTTGGTTGCACTATTTCATTTCTTCTAGTTTTTTAAAGGATTTCGTTTCAATATGCTGCTTGGATGAATTCATGGGATCAGCGCCTACACTGAGGGATGCTGGTTGCGTGCGCCCTGACACACCCATTCGATAATGCAACTCCGGGTCAACGGTAGGACTTGACGGCGAAAGCTTATCGTGCTGAGGCGCCTGGCACTCCCCGCTTTACGCTGAAGGTTGGACTGTGACGTCATCTGGGCATTCCCGAACCGGCTGCTACCGGCCGCAGTTCATGTCAGCCGGAGCTAAGTGATGAGCGCATGAAGCGGCTTGGACCCTCCTCGCCTCCAGCATGTGAATGGGATCTCAAAACTACGATCAACTGAATTACTGGGACGAACTACTGAAGAAAGGGTAGGGAAATGTCGGTTCTGGTTTTTGCGGAAAAGTTTTAGCATTAAAAGCGCATCAGCACTACCAAACACATCGGCAGAATAATATGACTTGTTTAGAATGGAGAACAACAAATCATAGCAAAAGCAAAGGACGCATTCTCGGGCCGATAATTGTGCCTGATTTCCATTTGCGAAAGACGATGAGAGCACCACGCTAAGATTTGCTGACTTTGGCGAGGTGCTCAATGATTGCTCTTCCCTTCGCCTCCCTAGTGCGTCCCAATAACTCGGTTGGTTATAGCGCCTGCGCTTTGGCTTACCTGCTGGTGGCGCGAAGGGTTCGAGTGGTTTTAGGTGCTCAATATTCAGCCCAAGCTGGCTTGGATTGCGGCCGGCAGCAGCAGATGCGAAAAGGTTAGGCGACGTCCGAGGACCTCACCATCAGGGTAGGACAGACAATGCCAAACGTTGCGGCACGTTAACCTCTTGCGGTAAAACTCTACCGTTGACCCGAGTTCCACGACTGAATGGAGGTGTTAAGGCTCACGCAACAAGCACCACTCAGCGCCGGCGCTGATCCCAGACATTTTTCTGAGCAAAAAGTGGGCTCTATATCTTAAGAAATATAAAAATCAAATTCCGCAACCATCCCTTGTTTTTTCGTATGCATTCCCAAATTAAGGGCGAGTGGTGATTGATCGAAAGGACTTTTACTGAGGGAAATCGGAACTGGTCGCTGAATGAGTCGCTGAATAAATCCCCAGGTGCACGGGCATAAGTTTTGGCAAGGTGGATACGAAATTGACAGAGGACCCCTGTGGACGAAAACAGTCCGCCCAAACGAATACGGCTGGGCAAATTTTGAGCGGCTCCATTTCCTTTGTTTTGTGTTTATTTTGTATTTTCCTTAACTGTAACATAAGTGAGAAAACGCCAAAACATTTACTGCTGCCAGTTCTTAGAAGTTGATGGAAGGAAGATACCAGATGTAACTAATGAAGCTAGCCCGCGCTATTCATTTTGCATTGGATCAGTGGGTTTTCTAAATGGATGGCAGTCAAGGGTGTTGCTAACATTTCCGGATTCTACAGAGATATTGAGGGGCTTGTGGATTACACATAGATGCCTAAAGATTATAGATTGAAATGAGGTAAGCCTAATGCAATGATACGGCCAACTTATGTTAGCCTTGTTCACCTGCGGATGTTAAGCTTTCTTCAGAACCGAGCATTGGAAACAAAAACTTATAAGCTATGTTTGAGCAAGCGCACTTGTCAGACTTCAGAACCAAAAACACCGTCGCCTGTCGTTGCAGTCTCCGTAGGCCACGCGGCATCGGCCCCCAAATGGCGATGGACGGGCGGGCGGAAAGGAGACCTCGTATCGGAAAGTAGTAACGTCGAACGCTTTATGCAATTCATTGGTTCGCGTTAAAATTAGTCCAGGGCGTTAATCTCCCTTTAGCAATTTTCCGGTCAGTAACGCATTTGCATTGGCATCCGAATTATTAGCATTTACAGCAACACAAACCCTTGACGCATTAGTGAAATGTGTATCGTTGCTTTAACGTTAATCCGTTCAAAGGATCAACTTCAAAATTTTACAGGTGAAATAACTGTTTCAGTCGGTCGTTTAAGGGCACAAATGGTGCGTGAAAAGATTTGGAAAACTTCACTTCACGACACATTGTCGTTTTCACACACCTGCATCAGCCAACGCCACCCGGTTCACGTCCGTGAAGTTAGATACTTACGCAGCAATTTATTAAAAGACGAGTTTCGATTTTCTAAGAATGCGACTCATTGTCAAACTTCATACAAAAATATAGAATCTGTCGTAAAGTGTTCAATAATACGTGGATTTAAAAGTCAAATTCAACTTCTAACGGGGAACTTCACATCGTCAAGACGCTACCGGTCGACTTCGAATCTCTAAGCATGAAAATACCCGGCTGCGCATAAGACAGCGTCCGTCAAAAACTCTTGACCTTTCAAGGTTACTCTTCACGGTCAAACTATTGTGTTACTTTGTCGGGCTCAAGGGATGGGGAGCTTTATATCACCCAAGAGTTATCGGCCGATTTCGAATTTTCAAACATCAGAATATTCACCAACGCATGAACTACCTCTCGCTACTAAGTCCTAGCATGTTAAGGTCATATTTCAAGGCTAAATAAGCGTGAAAGACGGCATCGATAAGTTGACGACTTTTTGACGTACGCTAGCTCATGTGCTTGTGAATTTTCAGATCCGTGACGCTCCAAAATTGGTTGATAGCTTTTGGGTAATATGAAGTTCTCCGTCATTTGAGTACCTCAAAATGTCATGACTTTTCCGGAAACTAGTTCACCTGCTTGTGGGTATTCTGCTGCTTGAAACTGCGAAATCGGCTGACAATTCTCTAGTGATGTGGAATTCAAATTTGACCGTGATAGCAGGTGGCATTGGAATATAGAAGCTAGATTCGGCGTTCTGGTCATAATTGAATACTTGCCGTATTCTCAGCGAAATCGTAACCCACCGCAAAATAAATCATTAAATCTATCGCAGACCTCTCGTACGCATTCGGTTCGAAGGAAACTGCCTGTTATCAGTATTTTTGTAAGGAAAGATTGCACGCGCGCACGCTTAAAATTATTTGTATACAATAAACTATTCGATTCTGAAAAAGGATGTTTATCCTCAAGCAAACGTGTGTCGACGATGTGGATACAAATTTCTAACCCAGTTTCGATCCACCTACCAAACACCAAGTGGACTTCTTTCTTCTCCCGGGAGGGGGCCTGTGCGTGTAGACCATCACATCATTGTTCTCAGATTTTTCGGCCAGCGGCTCAAAGACCCTTTAGTCCCAGCCCGGTGTACTTCGTCATTCTGGCGTCATGGCGACCAAAGGTTTGGCTTCATGGCGACTAGGAATCTGGTGATCATCTGGCGACCAGGGTCCCCCGGCCAGTGACCGCGGAATGGTCAACCCGGAGGGCTTTAGAGAAATGTAGCACATTGGCCCTGTGCCTAGTGCGAGAGGCCCTCTGGCCGGAGCAGTTGGTTTCGGATAGACGAAGGGGGCCTCATTGACGGAAAAGGGTCTATTAACGGCACGGGCGTCCAATAATTGGTACAGGAATCCCAGTCCGGCGTGTTGGGTTTTGGCTAAAAGGGGTTGAAGGGCCCGGGCTCAGTACTAGGGCCCTTGGGGGATCTCATGCCTGCCCCCTCATCGTGAAAGGTCCCGACCAACGCCAGAAGCCCGTGACATTCGGATTTCGACGCCATGTGGGCACGGGATCCCCTGGTAGGCATTTTGGGCCCCCTGACTGACGTATATGACCCCATATTGTTTCAGGGTCCCGACCGACGCAAACCGCAGACCCAAGCCTCGCTTCTGCGCGGGAGATGGACTGTCAGAGCCCAGACTGACGCGGCCGGGTCTACTTTTCGCTGTTGGTAGTTTCTAACTGACAAGCAGACCCTCTTTTTCTCAGGGGGTCCTAATCGGCGCAGGAGGCCCTCTGACTAATATTTGAAGGCCCAGTCCTGCGGGACGGGGCCCTTGAAAATGACCTCTGACCAACTTTTTGGGCCCTTCGAGTCTCCAATCGGGCCTTTGGTCATCAGTCCCGATGGGCTCATCGAGCCTCTCGAGACCTATGGGGGTCCATCATTGACTGTCGAGGGGGCCTCGACAGTCGATAAACGGCCCCTGGGCTTCTTCTGGCCTATACATGGGTTATTCTGACCCATGTGTAGGGGCTCCCATTTCAGACTGGTAGACCCCCATGACTGACTGCAGTTCCCATCAATATGGTTTTTAGAGTCCCATTCTGGCTTGTGGGGTTCCCATTCTGACCTGTGGAATTCTTTCACCGACTGTGAAGGATCCACTCTAGTTTGCACAGGAGTCATTGAGGCTTTTGGATACCCATTATTGACAACAGAATGCACATTCTGGTCTGTGGAGAAGTCATCATTGGCTACAGATGGCCTATTCTGGCCTGTGGAGGGTTCATTCTGACCAATAGAGGGCCGATTATATTGACTGTGGAGAGCCAATCTGGCCTGTAGAAGGCCCATTCTGACCTGAAAAACGCCCATTGTTGACTCCGGCATGTGGAAGCCCCCCCCCCCCCCCGCCCTGCCTGCCCTGCCCTGCTGAAGAAAGGCTCAATTAGGCCTGCGGAGGGCACATTCTGGCCTCAAAATTTATGAGTCTGTTCTAGCCTGACGATAGCTCCTTCTAACCTGCAGTTGGTTCATTCTGACATGCACAGGGCCCATTTTGACTTATAGGGCCTATCCCGGCTCGCAGGAGGCCCACTTTCTCATCTCGGGGACCCACTTTGCCATTTGGGGATTTGACCCCCTAAACTTGAACGTTGTGCAAACTACAGTTACCGCGACCATGAGCATCAGCGCCAGCGTACTGATCTGTAAATATTGTCGCAATTGTTCAAGGTCACCAGATTCCATAGGGGGTGATGATTTCGCGTCGAGTCGAGAGCGAACAGTCTTGAGGAAAATCCTGACGACGGCTTTCGCCAGCGGAGATAGCTGAGGCGACGGCAGCAGTGGAAAAGTAGTAGTGTCGCTGACTCGCCTGAATGTTCTTGAAAAAGTATTTCAAAAGGCTCTTGGTTTGTGACATATATTACGGTCTTAAGCCATAAACGGAGGACGTAGATTCCGCGGGCGCTGCTGATCTATCAGCGTGCGTTAGACCCGCGATACTAACGCTATTTATATTTGGCCTATGTGAAGTTTGTTGTAGACAGTGAGCCTTTTTGTGCTCATGACATAATTTGTAAAAAACTGACCCGTTATTAGCTGATCGTTTATCTATGCATGTACTGATTGGTTTCCTAAGCCGAAGAATTCGTTCAACTCGAGGGAGGGGGGGGGGGGGGGGCTGAGCGATGTTTCATTTGTGTATTTCCGTGCAATGTCAAAGAACTAATGCCAACTTTCCCCAAATTTGGAGGACAGGATCTCCATCCTTCCTATCCAAGCCAAAGTGCTTGGTCGGCATAGAGGCTGAGCTGTGTTTCATTGATTTATTCTGTGTGGTGCCAGTGACCTAATGCTGACTTCCCCAAATGTGGAGGATGGAGCCACCATCCTCCCTAGCTTCCAAATTGCTAGCTGTCCTGCTCCACAGCAGATATGTGTATGGTCATGTCACTAGGGCACTCTGTGAGCTGTGGCATGTCTTAACCTATTCCAATTTTGCTGCTATTGTTACTGGACAGAATGTATTGAACATATCATATAGGGCACTGGCTTGTTTCATGTATAACCTGAATGTTCATTGAACAAGCTCCTTAATTACCTGCCCTGGTATAATTATTTTTCTGTTTGATATTTGCTGATCTTTTCTTAACATGTCCAGCTCAACCCAGACCCAGCTCAGGTGTAGTGCTTAGCCTTGCTGTTGAACAATCAGCTATTAATGTCATTAAAATCATACAGTATCTCAATATTTTTGCTGTCTGTGGATCTGTTTATGCACTTGCTGAATGCCATGCTTTTTCCAGAAGCTACTTTTCCATTATTCTGTTGTGGTGACAGACGGACCAAGCATGGCTGCTCTGTTACTCAACCGTGGGATCTTCTTTGTCATGGCAGGAACCAGGTAGACCATTTTGTGTAGGTTAAGAATTGTGTGTATATAGCATTATTTTCATAAATGCATTATGTTTATTAGTTTAATTGTTTAAGTCATATATTACATGAAGTTCTTGTTATTAATGTTTCTCTACATGTACTACAATCTGTGCTCTAAACCATTGATGTCATTGTAAGCTGTAATGAGCTGGCCTGTGGTGTTGAGCTCATGTGTTTTCAAAGCATTTTGGCATCAGACATTATATAACATTTTACATTCCCTCAGAAGCAGTTACATCATTGTCATGCGCGGTTTAAATATTTATAAACAGTTTGCCTGCATTTCATAATTTCCTATCATTTTATGCTAACAGTGTTCTGATTCTTGTCCTATACATGTGAGCATGGACTTGCAATTTGTCTTTCAGACAGTCTGTTCAATCAAGCCTGGCTCCTTTCTGTGGTTGGCAGCGTTCAGCCATTCGGTCATGTGCTCTGTGTGGTGCGCAACGCATGCACACATCTGAGCGTGTTTTGAAACAAAAGAAAACCAAGGAGCACAAAAAGGTAAGTGCCAGGGGAGGGCAGCTTCAACCCAAGATATAACTTTTGATAAAAGTACTCCATTAGCTGAATAGGTTGTCCAAGTTTAAGCAAAGTTGATAAATCATTAAAGGGGTTGAGGGAAGTTAAAGCTTATCTGTTAATCCACATCTTTTTATATAATTTTCCCACACCTGGCTTGGATCCCCCTAAACCTCCTGAAAATGCAGAAATAGCTGAATTATACCGTTTTTTACGTAATCATGGTATTTCAGTTCCTTTTGTAAGCTATGTGTTTGTGTGCATTTTATAAGCATGCCATTCCCCTGTAAAATTGTCAACTATGGCTGAGGAATTTTTGCAGTTTGTAATTCCAGTTCTCTGGTTGGTAAATTCCCATAAAGATGAAAATTTAATATTTCAGTGGACTGAAATAAGTTGTATGAAGTCAAATCCTTCTAAAGGAATGTCAAAACTTTAACACAGTCATTTCTATCTCCGCAAAAGAAGAGAACGGAACATTGCCGCAAACCTGCGCTGGAGTCGAATTTTTGGTTTTTGATGAAGCATGGACTAATTTAAAGACTTCTCCATGTCATATGGAGTGGGTAAGTCTATGGCGAAGTATATGGCCAAGCAGGTCCATTGGTGAGCCTATAAAGCATTGGTGATGTAGATGTCCAAGCATTGGTGATGTTCGGGTCCGCGCCATTTGAAAGCTACCCGAGTAGAGAAGAATATCGGCTGCCGTGCGGTAGCCGATTGCGAATCTGCTTGTTGCGAGGGGACGGATTGAGCGTAAATCAGAATACAACGACCGGTCGAACTTCCTACACAAATTAAATGATTGTTCCGAAAAGAGTTTCCTATGTCACGGTTTACCCGTGGTGTTACATAAGTACATAGTACATAAGTACATAAGTACAGCAAGTAGTAATGAATAATAAGTGACGAGAAGCGCACCAGTGGGCATCTCACTGACAACGTGTGCGCACTTCATTGGCAACAAAGCACCAGAGCAGTTTGCCAACCAGCCCTACCAGTAAGCAGCGACCGAAATCGGAGCCAAGGCAACCAAATCAAGCTTTCCTCCCGCGAACGCACTGAATTTCAGTGTCACAACGCGGCAAGTACAAACACGATACAAATGTGAGGGTACTGTGAATAATGTCGCAGACACGGGTATTGAAAGCATGAAAGGCGAGTTCGCAAGGCCAAGTTCGCTATATCGTTGCTGATGCCACAGTCGTCCATATTGGCAGTTCGGCATCGTTTTTCATGATTGTTCTTGGGACGAGAAAGAGAAAAATGATTGCGTGCGTGTGTGTGCGCACGCGCGCCTTACACACAAAGTATTTACCAACATGGGGTGACCCAGAGACTGCGTTTTCAGAGGTTTTGGTATATATATATATATATATATATAAATAGAAATATTTTGTCAGAATCCTTCCTTTTATGCATGTTTGATTGCAAATGACTACTGACTCAGCATTGACGAGCTTTTTGACGCATCGTTCTACTTTCGGGGCTTTTGGCTGGCTATTATCATTTATATTAAAACTGGTTCGCACAAAATTACTCATATGCTCGTCGCACTTTACATTCTTACGTTTCGAGATCTTATTTCATCGTCGGAGAGGACTGAAGGGCACAAGACATAAGTTTTGCGTTTGAAGGACAAAAAAATTGTGCACTCCTATTGGAAAACATCTTTTTGCAACGGAAAACACATTTGAACCTCGGCTAAGGTAAGAAAGAAAGGAGCATATTTTCACCTTGACACATCTAGAATAAACTCATAATGGGAACACTACGAGGACCCAAACATATTGCCACAATTACTTCAATAGTGCTCACCGCCTAACACCTGGTGATTCAAGGGTTTACAAGGATTTGTTTGTGTGTTTAAGGCTGGAGAGAGCTCGTCAATGAATATGCTTTCCCAAATTTTGAAGGCGTCTTCTGTCATTGCACGTCCGTAAAATGTCAGTACTGTCAGTTGTTGCCATGTCAATCGCCTACCGTGTTCCTGTTCCATGTGGTCCAGAGGTGCCCCGTCACGTAAGTGCATTGTCAGGCGTCGTGAGAGTGTCGTTGTAGTCACACCAATGTAGTGTATGGGACGAAGTTTGCAGCCTTCGATGTTGCATTGGAATTGGTACACTACATTGGTGCATTTAGTTTGTCGGGTTTGTCTGGGCTGTTTCTCAAAGAAGGTTACAGATTTTCTCATTGCGATAATAAATGACAATGTCAATTTTGCGCTCGTTCTTGCCTTTTCATGTGAGATGATTTCCGTAGGGCTTTTTCGTCTTTTTTGTGAGCAGATGTCATTTCATTTTGATAATACAGTTCAACGGTTGGTTGGTTGTCTTGTCTTGGTTTGCTGTGAAAGTGTCTTGTCATATGTCGTATTATATTACGACATTATATTGCGACGTATTATATTACGACGTTGAAAACAAAATATATACGAATTTAGTTTTTCAACGTTAGAATTTGAAACACCGTTGTTCACCAAGATGTGTCTGATCCTTACCAATTCTGAATGCAGTTCTGCCCAATCAGAGCAGTGCTTAAATGCGCGTCTAATGAATGACCTTATGACGCTAATTTTGTAGTGTCGAAGACACCCACTGTCAGCTTTTAAGCACCGCCCTTTGTCAGTCCGCTTTCGGCGTACAGTCGTTTTAAATTGCTGTCGTTGTCCATCAACAGTCACGTCGGGAAACGGTACCATGCTTTGCGCACTTCGTTCTTTTCGGAATTTTAAACAGACTGCCCTTTAAATGTGTTTTCGAGGCGTTTTAGTTGGTCAATGTCCCTAACTTCCACAAAGATATCGTCTACATAGCGACAGTACATATCCGGCCTTATGACGTCATTTTGCATTGTGTCGGCTTCTACATATCCCATAAAGAAATAAGCGAATGAAGGTCCTAAAGGTGAACCCATCGCAACACCCTAAATTTGGCAATACATTCGTCCATCAGGCCCGCGGAAAGGAACTTCCAACGAACAAGCTTTTAGTAATTGCTCAAGAAGGCGCTTTAATGTTTTGATAGGAGGAATTTCGGCGTGATTGTAAACAAGGCTGTTGGATATGGTTCTTGCAATGGCCACGTTTGCAAATAGACCTTGTATTTTACAGACCTCTGGATGACGACAGGACATTGACACAACAACTGACAGACAGCACTGACATTTTACGAACGTGCAATGACAGAAGGCGCCTTCAAATTTGGGTATGCATATTCATGACCGAACTCTCTCTAGCCCTAAACAGACAAACAAATTATTGTACAGCCCTTGAACTTTTAGGTGGTGGGCGGTGAGCACTATTCATGTGATTGTGGCAATGTGTTTGGATCTTTTAGGCGTTCCCATTATGAATTTATGCTATATCCATCAGATTGAAAATAGGATTCTGTCTTGCTTCAATTAGCCATGCTTCATTTGTGTTCTCCGTAGCAAAAAATGTTTTCCAATAGTAGCGCACAATGTTTGATCCTTCAAAACTCAAGGCCTATTTCTGTTGCCATTCAGTCTTCTCCGACGATGAGATAGGACCTCGAAACTAAGAATGCAAAGAGCGATGAATACATGAATAATTTTGTGCGAACCATCTTAAATCTTAACGGCAATGCCAAGTCAAAAGCCCGGTAACTAGAACGATGCGTCGAAAAGCTCGTCAATGCTGAGTCAGCAGTCATTTGTAATCGAACGTGCATAAAGGAAAGGATTCTCCCAAAATATTCCAACATAAAGCTACAAGACCAGGCAGTTAAAAAAGGGTTTTATCCAAAAATATAGAGAACGACCTGTGAATCACCAACTGCAGCAAAAGAAGACGGCCTGTGAAATTCTTAAGAGAGAAGAGAAAAGTTTTAGAAGAAGAGCTACAGGCATGTTGCCCTGAACATGAACTAAAACAAAAACTACTTGAAGAACTTGACGTGACTGAATGTGATGCTAGACATCTTACTTGAAACAGAATATTGAAAAAGTTCTTAAAGCTTCATCGTGGACATACAGTATTACCGGAAACTGCCGATGGTAACATCAATTTATCTCACCATGATCTTACTGAGGAACAAAAAGAGGTGCTTAATCTTGGACTTAATTGTCATGTGTTGTCGAAATATGATAAACTTAGAAAGAAATTAGAACTTGAAATTATTTACCAGGACATCTTGAATTTGGAAAAAGAGGACAAGATTACCGTAGACAAGGATCTAAAGAACAGCTTACTGGGGGAGAGCATGAAAAAGCGTGGAAATGATAGGAGCAAGATATACACACAAGAACTCAGGACGGCGGCAAGGAACTTCGAGAAACAGACGAAATGATCATTCGGCGAGCGGACAAATCATCCCTCTACGTAATACCTGACAAAAAGGAATATCATTATGCCAAACTGTATCTTAAACGACAAGAAGTTCCGGCTCATCACATAAGATCCAACAAACTCATGACTGAGCGTAGCAAACTAATCACTGCTGCCAGTGCCGCTGTTCTGCAGGATAAGGGGTGAATTGGCGCCTGGCTTATCGGTCTGTAAAAAAACTCCCCAAAAAATCGCAACCCCCTTCGTCCAATAATTTCACGGATCCCTTTGCCAACTTATAGAATTGCAAAACGTCTTAATGGTCTTCTGTCCCCATGGCTCCCATGTCGTACAGCTTATCGTCATCGGATGACCTTATTGATATAGTGCGATCTCGTCAGCCTAAGCGTCTACTAGGCTCTCTAGATGTTGGCAATATCTTTACAAACGTGCCCATTGAAAGAACCATATCCATCATCCTTGACCGCGTTTACAATCACGCCGAAATTCCTCCTATCAAAACGTTAAAGCGCCTTCTTGAACAATTACTAAACGCCCGCACGTTGGAAGTTCCTTTCCGTGGGCCTGATGGACGAACTTGCCATTGCCAAATTTAGGGCGTTGCGATGAGCTCACCTTTAGGACCTTCATTCGCTAATTTCTTTATGGGATATGTAGAAGCCGACACACTACA